GATATATTAACTTATTCCTACTTTTGCTCATAATGCTGTCCCTGCCGCGTTTTTAGGAGAGAAAGTCATATGATGCCATACTTTTGAGCTTCCAGACTAGCGTTCTGTTTCAATATTTTGTTCTCATTTGTAGGTCAATTGACAGCACCCGTACAAATTACAATCAATGTGCAGGATGTTAACGATAATCAACCTCATTTGGAAGTTTCTGACAATCATATACGGCTATCCAACAATAGACTGATATCGCCTTTCTTTGTGCAGGTATACAAAAAGAAAGTAAATTCTGCAGGTGTTCATGCAAAAAATTTAGATACTAGACGATGACAGTCCAACAGCGAGTGAGAATCGCTTGTCTCTTGCTGGTAGCGCTGCAGGCTTTCTTGGGCTATCCAAAATATCAGAAAACCTTTACCAAGTATGTCTCAAATACATACTTACGTTATGGAAATTAGTTTTCTTTATTTGAGGTTGATGTAATTGGGTTTGCTCCATCTGGCAAGCATGATCTGGAAATTACCGTATCCGATGATGTGTTTTCCGACAAAGTAACAGTAAATGTCCAAGCACAGGTAACATAATGATTGCCTAAGTTCTTGCCTTTTCAATCGCGCTTTGCAGAATTCTCGCTCCCACGCTCGCTTCAGACGACCAAAATATTCAAAAACTGTCACTGCGGATAAAATACATGAGGGTTAGCAATTCGGAGATCAATTTCCAGTGCTAAATTTTTGTTTACCTATTTCTCAGGAAACCAGCTTCTGCAAGTAGAGTTGGAAGGTGTACCTATTGATGAGGCTCGCTTTGTTATTTTACAAGGAAATCCTGGTTGGCTAAGCATTGATGATTACGGAGGACGAATTGGCATAGCGAAGTTCATAAAGTAGGTTGCAATCCTTTCCGTAACCGAATCTTTATTATGAATGCGTCTAGTATATTTTTTCACAGTTTGGTGCGTTTTCTCGTGAACTGCGCTTTTTCCGAATCTAGCACAAAAGTAGAATTCAAGAATTATAAATGGAAGCTCAATCGGTTGTATTCAAGCTTAATGTAAAATATGTTTTTATCGTTTACTGGGCTTTTGAGATGAAAAGGTATGTAATTAACAGTGATCTGTAATACGACCGATT